CCGAAGGCAACCACTGTTGCGCCCAAGGCTACGACGTTGACACCAGCGACCTCGACACAAGCCCCAAAAGCTACCACAGTTGTCCCAAAGCCGTCAACACAAGCCCCGTACAGTACGTCGGTCCCAGTGACACCTGTCCCGAAGCCGTCGACTCTAAAACCGTCGATCCCGGCTCCGTATGGCACTACGGCTACTCCAAAGACCACAACGGTTGCTCCAGCGCCGACAACAGCGGTTTCCAAGCCCTCGACCCAAGCTCCGTATGGAACGCCCGTGCCGGCGACTAATGCACCGAAGGCTACAACGGTGGCTCCCAAGGCTACAACGGTTGCTCCCAAGACCACGACGGTTGCTCCTGCGGTGACAACGGTTGCTCCCGCGCCGACGACAGCAGCTCCCAAGCCCTCGACCCAAGCTCCGTATGGAACGCCCGTGCCGGCGACTAATGCACCGAAGGCTACAACGGTGGCTCCCAAGGCTACAACGGTGGCTCCCAAGACTACAACGGTTGCTCCCGCGGTGACAACGGTTGCTCCCGCGCCGACGACAGCAGCTCCCAAGCCCTCGACCCAAGCTCCGTATGGAACGCCAGCGCCAGCTACTAATGCTCCCACGACAGCAGTCCCGAAGACATCGACGGTAGCCCCACAGTCGACGACAGTGGCTCCGTACAGCACACCGGTGTCAACGACCGTCGCACCGAAGCCGTCGACGCTGGCACCCAAGGCAACGACGGCGGTACCGTATGGAACACTTGTGCCAGCAACCAGCGCACCGAAGGCAACGACACCGGCTCCCAAACTAACGACTGTTGCACCGACAAATACTCCCAAGACCACGGCAGCAGTCCCAAAGACATCGACACTGGCTCCCAAGCCAACAACGATGACCCCGTACAGTACGCCAGTGTCTACTACCAGTGCACCGAAGGCGACGACATCGGCGCCAAAGTCCTCGACGCCGGCACCGTATGGAACACCAGTGTCCCCAACGATTGCACCGACGACCACTACAGCCGTACCGATGGCAACGACGGTAACTCCAAAGACGACGACGCCAGGTCCCTACACCACACCAGTGCCTGCTACCCCTGCACCGAAGACTACAACGGTCGCGCCAAAGTCATCAACACCGGCGCCATACAGGACGCAGGCGCCTGCCACCGGAGCACCGAAATCAACAACAAGCGCACCGAAACCTGCAACGTCGGCACCGTATGCGACGACGAGCTCCGCTACGAACGCACCCAAGCACTCCGCCACGCCGACGACGCAATCGCCCTACGGCACTCGGTCGCCGATCACCGATGTCCCAAAGCCAGCATCGACGCCGGTTCCGTACGGCAGCGTCAAGCCAGCGACATCGGCACCGGCACTGAACTTGGCGTCGTGCGCCTGCTCGACGGGCTTTTGCATTGCGCAAACCTGCAACAACTGCAACGCCGACCTTGGCAACGGAGTCCGCTCCTGCATGGGCGGGTGGACAAAAGCACAGTGCACGAGTCAACTGGCGTACGGTGCGACCTACACGTGGTGTGGCGACGGTGACCGGTCAACGTCGCCGACGCCGTCCATGAACAAGAGCCCGGCGCCAGACGTCAACGTTGGTGTTTACGGCGCGTACCGGCAACCGTCCGCCCGCAAGCTCGGCGACACGGACGACACCACCGATGGCTTGTGGTGAAGCTACATTCCCTTTAACCAGTTATGACCTTTGTATCAATCAATATACCTCCATTTTTGAACCCATTATACATTTTTGTCAAATTGCTGAGTGGCGCCGATGTTGCAGCATGATTGATATACATAGTAAGTCTATTGTACAATAGGAATAGACTATCTAACTAGTGACACGGGGTGCCAAATACGCCTGGCTATCAAACACAGAATGTCCATCACCAGTCGTCGTGGCCGAGATGTGAAGCAGTCGACAACGGCATTACTTGCTGGACGTGAGTGGTGTCTTCTCGGTCGCAGTCGCCGACGACGGGAACCACGGAATAAGCACGTTGGTCGAGCGCTTGTAGTGCTGGTACGCCGGCGACGCGCCCCACTTGGCGTCGGCCTTGGCTTCGAGTAGCGGGATGCCGCTCATCTTCGTCAAAAGCAGCGTCACGAGGAGCGGGCTCAAGCAGGCCACGAGCACATCGCCCGTCGACGCAAGCTGGGCGCCGCAAAAGAGCGTCAGGCCGATCCAGAGCAGAATTTCGCCGAAGTAATTAGGATGGCGGCTGTAGCGCCAGAGGCCCGTCGAGATAAACTTGGCACTGCCAGTGTACTCGTCCCGGAACGCATTCTTTTGCATATCGGCAACCACTTCAATGCCAAACCCGATGATCCAGAGTGTGATGCCGACAACGTCCGAGGTCTGCACGTACGCCGACTGCGCGACCGCCGACGTATGCAAGAGCAGCGTCGGCAGCAGCGTGACAAAGCCCCAGAGACCTTGAAGCGTCCAGACCGAGAAGAACCGGACTGGCTTGGTCTTGAGCACGTCGAAGCGGTCGTCGGTGCCAGTGCGGTGGATGCGCAAAAAGAGGAACAAGCCAAGGCGCAGCGACCAGATGAGCACGAGGCCCGACGCCAGCGTGGCACGGGCGAGCGCGACCGGTGACGACTCGGCGTTGGCGTGGACGACGCAGGCGACAACTGAGACAATCACAAACGTGAGCGTGCCCGTGAGGTCAAAGAACGTCTCGGACTGCATCGGGATCGCCTGAAGAAGCACGACGGTCCAGTTGATGCCAAAGGCCACTGCAGCGTAGAGCCCGAGCCCGGTCGGAAGCGCGACGGCGGCGGCGATGGCCGTGGCGACGATGGCACCGGCGCCTTGGCGCAAGAGACTCATCTTGACAAATGATGGGCTACCATGTCAACACGACATTGCCGTTGACGTGAGGCGGCCACGAAGCTCCGCGAAGTCCCGGATCCAGACCAGCCTTTCTACGTAAACAGAGTGCAGGTCATTCAACGGAAATAGTATGCTGACGTCGTTTGACGCCCGATGACGTTGGGTTGCGCTACATGCAGCGTTTCGTCATCGATGCAAGTCCACACGCAAGCATTAGCTCTGTTCTCAAGCCTGTGGATAGCGCAAGCGGGCTGAATCCAGCACAGGAAGCGTACCGGTACAACGAGTGTACCGTAGTCGGTCGCGCATTTCCGACCTGACGAGACGACTGCCGACCTGACGAACAAACAAAGGAATGGCTGCGAGTCTATGCCCAGTAGAGCGCTGCACTTGAAGTGAATTTGACGTCAGCAGCCTTGGCGACGGTTGTGAAGAGGCTCTGCCATCCACCGACGTCCCTGACCATTTGTTCCATAGCTTTCTTCGCCACCATGTCTTGTTCACGGAAGGTCAACGCAAGGTACGAGCGTACCCACTCGGTCCATTGACGCCGCTCAAAGCGCATGCCAAGACAGGCCATCGGCAATCGAAGCGTGCGAACCACCGTGGCACTCAACATTCGCCTGTCTACCAAATCCGAAATAGTGTTCTTTGACCATCACTCTACCAACCAGCTGGTGGCCGAGATCCGCCGAAGTCCGTTGGCCGTTGTTTCGGATCCTGTGCAATCTCAAAATGGCGACGCCGGGCGTGCTCGGTGTGCTCCAGGACGGCGGCGGCTTTGTCCTCGCGACAGGTATCACGCTCGCGATTGCCCTCCCGACAGACCTCCTGCTGTACGCGGTCGTGGCCATGGGCATCAACTGGGCGGCGTCGCTCTTCCACGCGATTCCGTGCCAGACGGAAAAGTTCTTTGATCTCTTTGGCGCCACGACCTTTGCCTCGCTCTCGATCTTGGCAGCAGCCATCCACTTGGCCAACGAGCGCGACGCCAACGCGTACTGGCGGTCGCTCACGCTCTCTGTCGTCTCGCTGCTCTGGGCGACGCGCCTCGGGTCGTTTCTCTTTTTGCGCATCCACGGCGCCGGCTCGGACAACCGGTTCGACGACATTCGCACCGCGCCGCTCAAGTTTTTCTCGGTTTGGACACTGCAGGGTCTCTGGGCATTTGCGACGATGCTGCCGGTGCTGCTCCTGCACACGCACGCCGGACCGCAAGCCGGCGTGTGCGCCGCCGACGTCATTGGTACATCTCTTCCTTTCTATCCAATCACTCACAGAACGTAGGCTTGGCGCTCTGGCTGATTGGCTTTGGCACCGAAGTCGTGGCGGATGCGCAAAAGACTGCATTCAAGAAGGACACAGCGAACCGCAACGCCTTCATCAACGTCGGTCTCTGGTACTACAGTCGCCACCCGAATTACTTTGGCGAAATCTTGCTCTGGATCGGCCTCACGGTCGTCTCGGCGGCGCAGCTGACGACGCCCGGGTACATTGTGGTTGCGTGCTTCTCGCCGGCGCTCGTGGCGACGCTCCTCGTCTTTGTGAGCGGTATTCCGATTCTGGAAGCCAAGGCGGATGCAAAGTGGGGCGCTGAGCCATCGTACCAGCAGTACAAGCAGCGCACGAGCGTCCTAATTCCGTGGTTCACCACGTCGCATTCGCACCTCGAAGTACGTAGTCCTGCGTAATGTGTACACTATTTCCATGGTTTTTATTCGACAAGTGACAGCGTAGTGCTGACTGTAGTGACGACGCGGCGCGCACACCGCTGCTGTGAGATCGCTCAAAGTCACGCTCGGAGAGCTCCACCCTGTAACTTGCAACACGATGGAAATGGCTCGTACATACAGCGTCAACAAGTACTTGATCAGCAAGCATTGCGGTTGCGGTCGTATGATGATTGGGTTTGCGGTCCATCGGACAGATACATTGATACAATACCACCTTTCGCGCTCAACAAGATCACTGATAAGGTCAAATTTGCCATCTGGATACAAGTTGCGTGTTGTTAGACTTTACGGTTGATGGATTGATTGACATGGCGGGGCAACGCGGCGGAGCTCTATCCGGATGATACATTCGCTTTGCAGGTTTTCATTGCGCGCCAAGCGCAGAGCAGAAGATCCGAGCGCAAGCGCCAAGCTGCACGCGCCCTGGCCGGAGCGACTGCGATTGAGACGGCCAAGGAGCTGTAGCGGAAGATCGCCGCGGAGCAGAGGCGTCGACCGCGACCGCCACTGCGCCTCCAGGCGAAGCGCGTGTGCAGCGACCGCGCCTGTCACAGTAGAAGTGCTGGCCTGCAAATCCGTGTAGCGTTTCTTTCATCCACCTCATGCGTGTTATCCATCCTGCAATGTTGATCATTCCGCGATGCTGCAGCAAGCTGTGGTGCGTGAAGCGTCCTGCTATGCAGTATTGGACCCGAGTGCTCACATGATGCGAACACTGAAGCGGCTAAGAAAG